TGTGAACACTTTTTACAGTTGGGAACCCGGAAGGGGATCCTGTTTCACGTTTTGAGTCCGCTTCGAAAGGATTTCGAGGGTGCAGAGTGCCTGCTTTAATGGGCGCCCCTACGGCGACATTGGAGGGGGTCCCTTCGGTTTTCCCAAAGCATGCGATTTCGGAACAAATGGGTGTGGCTCAAAATTACACAGGATGGTTACGCAGGTTTTGGTCCACGTTTCCACTTACCAGGGTTCCATTTTGGTACCAGTTTTTGAGCCACAGCCAGATTAAATCACATCGCTGCCACTCCAAGTTTGGAATCACTTGGGTGGATGTCACACTGGCATGAAACATGAATTGTCTTGCCAGGACGCCCCTCATTGGTGAAAGGAATATGGCTGTGGTTGTCAAACCGTTTTGGGATCCCATTTTGGGGTAGGTGAAATCACCACCCATTTTAGTCGGGATTTTAGTGGGGATTGGGCTGTTCACTGGGGGTAATTACAGGATTTTGACCCATGCCCATATGCTCAAAGTGGGTGTCATTCAATTCCATTCGTGTCTGTGAAAGCTGTCACATGCACGATTTTTTGGACGTACCGAGATATTTTGTTGGTGCAACCTCTGCCGTTTGAAACTCGGCTCGCTCCAGCGCAACCCCGATGTCGGCTTTCCATTTGATCATGATTCTGTCATTAATGTTGTGTGCTTTGTACATTCCACTGCGAAACGGATAGTGCTATGAAACCAAGGTCTACTCATTTTGCAACCTGAGATCATTTCATGGGAGGTTTAAGAAGCCATTTGGGAAGCAAAGTGGTTGCCAAGTTTTCCGGTTAGTCGCCCCCCAAATCACTATATCTGCCTTCCAGGTTGGTTTCTGCAGACCCTCCTCCCCCCCCGGCAATCTGCGCCTAGGCTTTGTGTTTGATGAGTCCCAGCCCCCCGATCAGCAATGCTCTGGGGCTGGTAATCTCCTTGCACCCAGCTCCTTGAGGATTGCTTTTGTCGAGCCTAAATAGCTTGGGATACGTGAAATCAAAGGTTGTACCACCAAACGCCTGGAACCCACGATAAGCCGAAAATCCGAGTCAAATACGCTAAATGAGTCTTCCCCGTGGCATTTCTTTGGTCTGGTCTGTGGAAAAGGTCTTTCCTCAACGCCAAAGTCACCTCGTCCGCGGCTTCGCCCAGCCAGCCACTCGCCTCCCTGTTCGGAGGTGGCGGTGGGCACGCTCATGGCGTCGCCCGTTGTGATGTTCCTGGGCATGGCCCGGAGCCAAAAGGCGTCCCAAAAGGGCCCCATCCAAGCTGACTGGTAGCCCAAGGGACACTCCCAACCATATGTAGCTGCGGCCGCCTTCAGAATTCTTTCAATGGTTCTGGGTCGACCATTTTAATACCGGGTTTTGATCATGACTCCAGTGGGAAATTCGCTGACTGATGCATCCGAGTGTTGCCTTACCGGACTGGCTGGCCACCTTTGCGATGGTTTCGTGATGGAACTCCTTATTCAGCCAGCTAGCAAGAAAGGCAGGGCTTTGTGTTGTTTGCTGAACATGACTGGGCAACTACCGCAAGATGTTTTCTCAGAAACTGTGTTTGTTCTGTGAGACAAAAAATGTTGGTCCAGGACATGGTTGGTGTCATGCGGGTTTCATATTGAGATGAATGAACCAACAGCGGTGTCGCAAATACTGTCCGCGTGGCGACACAGTGGGGCAGAGCATGGCAACCCGCCGCCTTGAGATCATCAAGGGCAGAACACCGGTGCGGTTTCCTTTGCAATCCGAGCAGCCACTCCGGCTCACCAAGTTGTTTAGTGGCGCACCCAACCAACAGTGGCAATAAGTCAAGCAAGGTGTTGTTTCAACACACAACCCTATCTTGGAAAGCATCTCCCACAGCTAACACCTCCAAAGGCTTGCACAACATGGGACAGCCCTCCAATACTAGCTGGATGTTCGGCCAACTTTACGCATGGCTTATGCGACGTGTGGCCAACTTTAGCGGGTCAATTGATGTATGAGCCACTAACAGCCTCAACTCCTTTGGGGGGGACCTGGTGGGGGAACTTCTTGGGTTGCCAACCACTTGGCGAAACATTTTTTTGACGACCACTGAGGGAATGGGCTACTGGTTGCACAAGGACCGGCCGGGAAGTTCGCAGGGCGTTTGGCAGATCCCCCAAACTTCCATTTGGCTAAGAACATGTTGTTTTATCTTCTTTTGTTGGGTTTAAAGGGAATCTATCACTGCTGTTTTTTGTTTTTTTTTCCAGGGGACTTAAGCAAATGGAGACAAGGCAGTGGTCTCCTGTTAACTGTTGTCTGGTTTCCCTTCAAATGCTGGCCTAAGGGCGGTCGGCTTTGAGAAACACTCATGTTCGGACGGCCTCAGGACTTTTCCGGCATGCATCATGTCCCTGCACGAACAAAGTAGCGGAACCAGGGCAAACATGTTATTGCGCTACTGCAGTTGCCGGAAAATGTTTGAACATCTACATGCATCATTTCCCTGCACAAGCAAAGTAGCGGAACCAAGGAACACATGTTATTGAACTTCTATTAAAATCTATGCAGTAGGGTTTTAATGCAGCATGCCAGAAAATGTTTGAACATATATTGTCCCCTGCACAAACAAAGTAGCGGAACATGTTTGAAAATCTATTTTGAACCAAGGAGCACATGTTCTCGAACTTCCATTTTGAGGGTTTTGGGCACACTTTGCCAAGGTTTTTTTTTGCTTTGTCCGTTTCAGGAGTCCCAGCAGATGCTGCGCAATCTTCCCGCACCCGTGCCAGTGGCTCCGGCCGCGCCTATTGCTCCTGCTGTGGCGCCAGCTCCGGCGCCAGCGGTTGGGTCAATGTTTGGCAGCTTTTTTTCTTTGGAGTGTGGTTGCTTTGCTCTGCTTCTATGTTTTTTGGTTGGTTGCATGGAATGGGTTGGTTTAGAGTTGAACGTTGACCAAGGCAGCAGACCAAGCCTCTCCCAGTTCACCAAGAGCTCTGCCAGCCGCTAGGCAGCAAAGGGGAGCTCAATTCCGTGGGCCGAACTGCTACTGGGCCAAAGACGACTAGGTTCCCTGCTAGGTGCCCTTGTACCGTTTCTTTTTCGGTTGGAGGGTTCCCCAATTAGGGGCCGTGTCTCTCACTTTTTCTGGTGAAGTACAAAAGAAGGAACATTTCCTCCCCTACTAAAACAGACTACAGAAAAAAGTTGGTACCCTTATTCTGACATCACTACCGGAGGACCTAGACGAGTCCGGTGGCCTCTTCCTATCGAAAGCTACGCCAAGACAGCAGGTTTGATGGTCAAGCCACTTAGGCCATCATGGTGAGTAAAGACAGCATGTCTCCAAGAGCCTTCGAACATGAAGTACACATCCGCGGATTTGGGATGTTCCTAGGATCATGAAGTTTTGGAGCCTCCCTTCTGTTCATGGTCTCGCACAAGCTATGACGAACTCACCTGGCAAAAGTGGCGCGTACTGATGGCTTGTCCTGTGGGATTCCTGCTTTCCAGTCTGCGAATAGCAATCGCGCAGGCTAAAGTCAGCATACTAATCTCAGTTGTCCGGAACAGACCGTTCGACCGTTTGGTTTTCGCATTTTGGTCCATGGTTCGTCAAGGTCCTAAAAGGTAAAAACGAAAACAGGTCTTCCGGGCGAGTGAGCCAAGGCTGGCTGGCCATTTGGATGTCTCATTTCGTTTCGGGAATGAGGCGCCAGCTCCGACATCGGCTGGGGACTCGGCCTTGGCTCCAACAGGCCCCATGTGCAAAGGGGGATGGCTGGTCATATTCCAATTGCAATCCACTCACCAATCTGATTTTTTTAGGTATTTTTCACAGCAGGATTTCCCGACGTGTCCGTTTGGTGTTCGAAATGGCTTCACCATTTCGAGATCCTCCCCTGCCACGCGCCACAAATTTCAGCGCGGCCTCTGACCTTTGACCCTGAGGCACCGCAGGAGCTGAGCTGGGCGGGGTTTGGGCGAAATTTGGCCAGGGGAGGCCCCGCGAAACTGGACGGGAGCCTCAAAATACCCTAAAAAGTTGGATTTCACCCACCATAAAATTTTGGGTTGCTAGAACACATATTTAAGGGAATGATTCAAGCCACCCCGAAAATTCGGGGACTTCACCCGCCATATTTTCGGGTTGCCAAGACCCGGTTTTTAAGTTGGAATGATGCGGGTTCAGCAAGTTGCATTCGGGGGCAGGTTGCACGGACAAACATGTCAAGGTTTGGACAGCAACTGCTGTGAGTTAAACGACGTGAAAGCACTGATTTGACCTAGCTGGGAGGGGGGGGGGGCGGGCGGGCATTTTTGGTCCCGCGTTGAAGGAGCATATGGAGGCTTTGCATAATTGGTCGGATTTGAAAAGAGCAAAAGCTGTGGGCCGGTGACGTGTGTATTGACAAGCCTCACACATGCTAAACCTTTGGTGCAATTTGCTTGGATCTTAGGACTTTAACTTTTTCGCCGACGAATGGTTTTGCATTAAACCACTAAAAATTAGTCACTTTTAGCATCGGAGCAGAAAGCAACCGAGGAACAGTTCACAGCTCAGAGCTGCCAATCTGGCCCCTTGGAAATTGCAGAGCGCTACGACTGAATCAGGTCCACAAGCTCTATACCTGGAAACACGTCTCAGACTGCGAAGTCCAGACTGCAGACATCGGGAGAATGGGAAGCCCCAAGGCGAGTCTTCTGGTTGCCCCTCGGGCTGTCTTAAAGGATTTAAAGGGGACCCAGTTGGATCCATTGGATGGGCAAACTGGTCAGGTATGTCCCTTTCTGGTGTGGTTCGAACATCACTTGGGGCAGCCTTAATTCTCGACTTTGTCCTTAATATTTCAAGAAAACATTTAAGAAGCGGTTGGCATTGACCGTCCTTCACGAGGGATGTCACGAAAATACCCGGCGTTCGGCACGGGGCGGCCCCCTTTTTTTGCCCAAAAAGTCCCATGGCTCGATCGGGACGTCGCCAGCCTTTCGGCTCAGAGTCGGCCATGGTGGCGTCGGTCCGATGTCCGAGCGCAGATCCAGAGGCTCGCGACCGCGTCCACTCTGCCGATGGTGAGCTCACCGATCCGGGGGAACGAGCGAAAGGCACGACAAAGGTCCTTTGCTTGGGCATCCCTGAATGATTTTCGGATCGACTTGGGATTCCTTTTGTCTAAAGCGCAACGAACAGGTTGAGCTTGGATTTCAGCGGGTTGGGCTCAGGGATGGCAACGAAGACTTTTGACTGCTTGGATATCAGCATGAGATGCTTGTTACTTCGGCAATCTTAAACCTACCACTTTCTGGGTGTGAACTGATTGAGTTGCTTGCGAACGGCCTGGAGTACCGCAGGAAATATGTTGAATCTGGAGTTTGATGTATTTTGCCAATCTGCACACACACACACACACACCGTTGTTCACCTCATTTTAGCCAGGAAGGTGATCTTACAGTTTAGGAATCGACAATCGCAATGTTTCGGAACGCATGGCTGGTTTCTCAACTTGTCAAAGAAAAATACGTAGTCTTTCAAGTCCGTGGAAGGGTATGTCCGAACAAGGAACCTCAAACAAGAAGGCATATTTGGAGTCTTCATGACCCTCAAAGAATGGGGTCCTGATCCCCTTCTTTTGGATGACCCATTTGAAGGGTCATGCAAACTCCAGGTATTTAGCGGACCCATGTCTCCAAGGACTCAAGCCTGTTTGGTTTGCTCAATTTGAATAATTCTCCAAACGTACATGAGAAGCGAATGGGTAAAGTTTGAAATGTTCCCGACCCGTTGATGTCTAGCACCGAGTTAGTTTACCTGGGCATTGCATAACAATGCCTCAGCTGGGGACGTCCTGGAAGAGCCCAAACAGGTTGCCAGGAAGAGTTTGTATGCCTGCAACCCCTCTATTTGTGCCATGTTTTGTGTGGAGGGTTCCCCTTCTCAACGATGGTCAGTTGAGCCACGATCAAAACTCGGGTAGATGAAGGATAGTAAGGGACAATACCAACCATAAATAGCTGCGGCCGCCTTCTGAATTCTTTACATTTTTCTGGGTCGACCATCTTAATACCGGGTTTTGATTGTGACTCAGTTCACCTCGGATTGAAGGGAAACCAAAAGGAAATTCCGCCAGGTGATGGCCACAACTGACCGAGCCGGGTGCCTCAAGGAAACGAACCTCCAGGATGCCAAGCGCTGCAACAACTGGGCCCCCCAATTTTTCGGGAGAGACACCGGGGATTCGGTGTTCTCACTTCCGGGCATGGACTTCATTTTTGGGGGAAGACCATTCATTTTAGTGGCAGACACAAAGTTCGGACGTGTTTTGGCCCATCAACTCAGGAAGTGCGGGGATGAGGGGCTGGGAGCTGTGGGGATTATGGACTTTCGTCATTGCGATGTGACCCCAGTTGAGATGCTAGTTTCCAAGGAGCAGATTGGTTTTATGACTTTTATGGCTGGCTTGGACGTGTAGATTTGTTCTTTGGGGTTGTCGAGTTTGTGCTGGGTGCTCATGGCAGTTGTTTGCTTGGGGTACCTTGGAAATTAAGACTGGTCCGCTGTTTTGCTTTGGGTCGTATTGTCAACAAGCATTCTAGCTGCACAACCCGCCCCCCCACCTTGTAGCCCCTTTCGTTTTGTGTGGCATGTTCAATGTCAAGCTGGATGAGTAGACCACAAGCGATCCAACATTGGTCTTACGTGTCTACTGGCTTGTGATGCATATGTATGTGTTAACCTCGTGGACTGAAATGTGGAAATCAACTCCCTGTACTCTGACCCTGAGCAAAGGCCTAAGGTCCAAGGGGAACCTGCCTCCAGTTGGGAATTATCATGTTAGGGCGCCTCGGGCGCCCAGAAAGGTCTCCCTGGGACTGGATTTGACGAAAGGACTTCGGGGAGAAATCTCCCGATCCATTTCGGGATATTTGAGCTCTAAATGTCCGCCCCATTCCCGTGCTCTTCGGCTCGAACAGGCTCTGACTCGCGCGGTTCTTGAAGTTTCTTGGGAAGATAGCGGCAACCACTTTGGTGACCTCGTGGTTTTTGGCCCCAGCTTCGGCTTTCGATCTCACTTCCTGAGTCCTGTGTCGGACTATTGTCGGACTTGAGTCACTCGGGTTTGAGAAAAAAAGCAACATCTTAGCCCATGACCCCCTAAAAAGTGGGGAGTCATGACCCCAAAAACAAAAAACAGGAGGTCATGGCCCGTTTATGGAGGGACCTGTTCAAAACATGGGGTCGCTAAAACGGAGGAGGATTCATGGCCCCATTTGGAGGGTCATGGCTCGACTCCAAAGGAGCTCTCCGCGGCGGAGCACGCGAGCATCGGCGCGCTGGTGGGCTCTTTGGAGATGGCCATCATGCGCCCGGCGGCGCCTCGGGCGTCGGGTGATCGGAGGAGTTGTCGGAGGGGCTCAGGGCAAACATTTTACATGTTTGCTTATTGTGGTCTAGTGGTAGAAATCCAACCACTTAACTGCTAAGATTTAAGTTTTTGCTTCCCTTCGAACGTCAACTAAGTGATGCACGGAGGAGTTTTAGGGAAGGGTCAGGGGAGGGGCGCAGGGGGGTCAGGGTGGTCGGGGAAGGGCGGGGGTTAGGATGGGCAAAAAGGCCGCAGCTGGGGTGGGCGTGGTCTCTCTTTTTGTCTTTGCCAAAAGGGGGGGATGGGGGGTTGGGCTTGTGATATGGTGCAACCAACTAAAAGGGATTGCGGTGTGTTCTTGTATCAGAAGAAGGATTCAGGATGCTTTCTTCTCAGGCCCCAATGGGTGCCTTTTTTGGAGGCTCGGTATCCTTGTGGGTTGCTGCAGGGAGACCAAAGCGACACCAATCATCATCTCGAGGGTTTCCCTTCCGGATTTACTACAGTAGATCTACGGTAGCAAGTCCACCTGATCTCTTCAAAACGAAGGAAGATGCCACAAGAGCAACACAAGAGACGTTGATTGCAGGCAAGCTCTCAGCAGGACGCAGAGCGCCCACCAGATTCAAGCATAGAACGCAGTATAACGCAGTGAAAAGAACACGTTGATGTGCCACGCCAGAGAAGAGAGCTTTGGGGATATACCAAACGTCTAGCTGATCAGATGCCACTTTTTCACAAGCGATTGTGGCGTACTGATTTTGAGCAGGTGTTCTGGGTTCTAAATGTGCAGAAGTCCGTCCGACTGCCGACAAGACAGGCTCAGCCTTTCTCGTCATGCGTGCACCGCGTTGGTCCAGTGTTGGTGACTGAACCTGACGATGGGAATTCCTTGGAGTCGGACATGGTTGTTGTTGGGAAACATTTTACATTTGTGCTTATTGTGGTTTAGTGGGAAATTCCCACTTAACTGCTAACAATGTTTTCTTTGCTCTTCCAACGTCAACCAAGCAGAGGTGGTCGGCTTTCCGTGCACCGAGGTATTCTGGAAGACGGAGCTACAGCAACAGAGATTTAGCCTCATGAGGGCGGTGAACCCCAGCTACTGCCACTCAGCTACACGGGTCTTTGGATCAGGCCACAGTGATGTTGAACCTTTGGTGCATTTTGCCAAGGGATGTTAGGCCTTGAACTTTTTGCCAACTCATGGGTGTTCCGTATTAAACCACTGAAAGTTAGTCACTTTTAGCAGGGCTGCGCAGAAAGCAACCGAGATGAGTCGCAGGTTTGGGGGGGAGGGGTTATGCTGCTTTGAGGCTGGATGACAGCAAGACGTTTTGCGGGGTAAAGGATGGCCTGATCACAGGAGCGGGCTGCCCTTTAAGGGTGTGATCATTTTCCTGGATCAACGGCAACCGCGCATACTCGAGTTACAATATTCAAAAGCACAGACAAAATCACATGGATGTGGCTCAAAATTAAAGAACTAGGGTTACGCAGGTTTTAGTCTTTGGTTCCATTTATCAAGGAGCCATTTTGGTACCTTTTTTTGAGCCACAGACACATCTTATCTCTTCCACGACCAGCAACAGGTTTGCCGGCGCTAGGACCTGATATGTTGCGACACCAGCGTGCAGCACGACTCCTAGTAATTTTGAGCGTGTTGTGTTGTAGGGCTCGAAGCATACACTCCCTCAGACCAACATGGAAGCTCCCAGAAGGCCTCTGTAAATGGAACCTGGTCAGCCAAAGGGGTCCTGGGAGCTCCATGTTAGTCCGGGGGAGGGTACACCGTTGCCTTATCTCTTCCGAGGATTCAGAAGTGTGGCGCTTTGGAGTCACCACGTCCTGATATCAATTGTGATCACCAGGGTCAGTGGGCCCAGGCTCTGAAATATGGCAGCGGCGGTCAGGAGGCTTAGTCAAATGATGCCACGGGCTGCTCAGGCTATCGCGGGCTGCCGCTGGCTATTGCCACTTGCCTGCATGATCTAAGTTGCGGGCAGTTTGTGTGCAGCTCTTGAAGGGACGACGAGTTGCCAGTGATATTGGGCGTATTATTTTAGGACCAACATAATCATTCAGTCTATATATCGACCTGTGCTTTTCGGTGTGACTGTACTTGGGGGCGTCGCCTTACATGGATCAAACGCCTGCTAATCGTGTTGAGGCTTGAAGCACGCCCAACCCTGATTGGCCATTTTAGGAGTCTTCTAGGGGTACCGTCCTTTCCAGAAAACCCAGGGAAAACGACGTTTAAAATGACCCATGGTAACGAATGGTTCGAATCACCCCCTAGAAGTCCGCCGTCCTGTGGTGTTCTGACAGCGCTGTCAGCCAGACCCGATGTCTAGGGCTCTCACATCACAGGCTTCGATTGTTCGCGGGAGCCTGGGCTTACTACGATTTTCCTTTGTTTGTTGTTTGGACGACTTAGAGATGGTCCAAATCTCTGTCCATTTGAAACTGGCAAGGGGGTGTTCGTTTTCGGCAGATGGCGAGGGCGAGACGGGAGCTATTCATTGCAACTGTCGCCAGAAGATCGTGGGGGAGGCGTTGCAGGCCACACCTGAAATCACAAGAAGCCCCAGGAAAGTTCATGACTCTCCTAGAGGGTCCCAGTACCTCATAATTTGCGGATTTGAAGAATCAATTGACGAATCACCTTGAACCAAACCCAAAGCCGTAAGGGTACTTGGGACCTCCGGTTCCAGTGCCCTGTTTGACCCAGTCCACCTGCCAAGACTTCTGGCCAACTTTGGCTGTGCGAGCCACATTCGGGCATGCCAGTCCTGCAGAAACCTCGCCGGTCGGCTTCCCGGGCGAAAAGCGATTGGATTTGTCTCATTGGGGGGACGCTCAAAGTGATCTGGCCGTGGGTCAACACCAATGGGTAGGTGCACCACCCATTTTAGTCTGTTTTAGTGGGGATTGGGATGTTCACTGGGGCTACGGGGTTTTGACCCATAGCCATTTGTAGGTATCCTTGCGCTTTCCTTTCCAATCAAGGGCACATCCGTGGCTTGCGGTTAACCTTGCTCGTGCGACACCGCTTCTGCAAGGCTTCCATAGCTCCAATCACTTGCATCCAGCCCGGCGCATAGAGTGAGTGAAGGTGAGTGAAGGTGTGGCTGGTGCACTGCTACCAGGTCCCCCAGTCGTGCCCTTTTACCGTTTCTTTTTTTTGGGGAGGGTTCCCCTTTTAAAATAGACAAAAACGAAAAAACGGATACCCTTCTTCTAACCTGTCTACTGGAGGACCTAGGCGATTTGCAGTTTATTTTTACCTTCGCTGTTGGTCTGTTACCAATGTCGTAGGAACAGCCCCGGTGTTTCTTCCCATGATGGTTTACTTGCATGCTTCACGAAGCCTAGGGCAGCGGACTGCATGCTGAAGCTGGGCAGCCCACTTAAGTGGAAAGAAGCTCAACACCCAGGTCATAGGTAACCTTTTTTGTCAACTAATCGGTTTTCCATTAAACCACTATAGAAGTACACTTCTGGCAGGGAAGCAGAAAGCAACCGAGATACTTTCAAAGACAGGAACCTTTCGTCAAGGCATGCCAATGCTGTTGCAAGTCACCGAAATGCCTTCACTCCTTGCAACGAGTCACATCCGGTTGTCATGGTGCTTGGTGGCTCCCAGCCATCCCATTGGCCTTTTAGCTTTTTAGTGTTCAGTGGTAGTTTCCATTTAACCCACTAGAAGTTGAACTTTTAGCGGGGGATCTGAGGGCAGCCCAGGGTGTTTTCAGCCAAGTTTCGGCTGCATCTGGGTTAACCCTGGGCCTTTTCACCACTTCGGGTGATGTCGAGCTCAGCGTTTGGAGGTTTGGAGCCAACAGCGCCTTCAGCACTGCCTTGAAGGCAGGCCTTGGTCAAATGTGTCTTGAGGCTCCCTCGGAGGTTCGGGGTTTCACAGGCAAACCAAAAGTAAACCACTCATTTTTTTGTGGTTTTTTTTTTCCTGAAAAGGCAAGCCGCATTTGTGTGTCTGTGTGTTTTCAGTGCCATGTTTCAAGTTTGGAGAACCACAAGGAAAGACGCCGTTTTCAGGGTCCTTTTAGTTTGAGACCTAGACCCGGGGTGGCTTGGTTCTCTTTTGCTTTTCTTTTGCACCTTCTCTGTGTAAGACCCCAAGAATCAAACATGAACCGCCCGTTGCAATTCCCGAGTTTCGGCCACCCGCCCTTTGGCCTTTGGCAAATCCTTCGGAACTTGAATGGGGAAGACAGAGTGGACGCAAAACCTTATGCAATGGACAGTTCTGTGAACATCCCCTCCTGTTCCGATGTGCACAGTAGATCCACAAGTGCAAGGCCCGCTGTTTCCAAAAACTGGGACCCTTTTGGGGTTTGAAGAGAAGCTCAAAGTCGCTGTTGCCATGTTCGGAGGTTCGAGGACCCACACACATGTCTAATGCATGGTATGTACGCACTTGTACCCTGTACAGAGTGCAAATATCAACCTATTTCTATATATATATATATATGCATTATATATATATATATATGCACAGTACTACGGCTGTGCACAGCCACATGGAAACAAACACACATGTATTTTGGGCACAACTCATTTTGTCACAACCCCGTCCCGTCCCCTTTGTGGGTCCCCCCCAGGAGCTGAGAGGGTCCTCCCAACTGTCGGAGGGAGACAAGATCCTGGCCGCGGTGACGGCGGGAGCTCCTTGGATGTCTGGGATCTCCTTTTCGCAGATTTGAGGCCTAAACCACCCTAGGTTTCCTTGAAACAAAGAATCTCCTTTTGGATGTATTCCGGGATCTCCTTTTCGCAAATATTCATGAGGCCTACTAAACCAGCGTGGGGTTCCTTGCCCCCATAAAGAATGGCCTTGGGACCCAATTTGGAGGATGAAATCTTTTAGGTAAATAATGGTGGTTATATGAACCCAAGCAAGGTTTTAATTGTGGGTTGAAGTGCAGAGATAAGGACCTTCATCAAGCATCTTGGTTCTTGCAGGGCCTTAGCAGGCCTTTGGTCGCCTTCGATCCATGCCCCTGACATTGAGTGGCCTTCACCATTTGCTTCTTTCGGACATCACCTTTGGGGCTACCCAGACGGGCCAACCTCTCTTTTGGGAACTCCCCAGTCGAACCTCCAAAAGAGTTGCCTTTTGGTAGTGATATCTCAAACGGAATTACAGGACAGGAAACCCTCTTGTCACCAACGAATCTGACGATACCCGCACTCCGCCCGCAGCACCGGTTCACACATAGGATACACCTGTCACCACAGTACCCGCACCATCTTAGTTGTGGCAATCATCGGGGATAACTCGTGTTGCCACTTACGAAGTACCCCCTCCTTTCAAGTAAGACTCGGTGTTGGGGCTGCCGGTGGATTTGGCACAATCCACTCCGTTTGGGTGTTCTCCTCTTTACCCAAGAAAAACTTGGTGCATTTTGCTTGGATGTTAGGACTTTAACTTTTTGCCAGCGGGTTTTTTCCATGAAACCACTAAAAGTTAAACTTGTAGGAGGAGAGCAGAAAGCAACCAAGAAAAATGTAGCCGGTTTTCGCGCCCACCGAGGCGGCATCTGCCCTGGTGCAGTGCCCTTGTCAGCTGGTCGAGGTGGGAAACGAATTGACCCCCAAAAGGCTGGAATCTTGATGATGTTTGCATCTCAAGGTTCACTCCCTCAAAATGGCCGTCCCAAAAGGCGAAGCTGCCAAAACTGGGCAGCCCAGGTTGGTCAACCGTTGCCAGGCTGAGTGGTTGCATGCATATGGAATTCACATGTTGAGCCTTTTCCAGACATCACGCAGCACGGGATAAGTTGAGCTATTGTTGAGCTAACCAATGGCTTTCCAATCGGATTGACACGGCAAGCTGGTAAGGAACATTCAAGCGCTTGTTTGCACATGGGCACCAGTGCCCGCGTGCGTGTCGCCAAAGCCTCTGAAATGAGTTAATTAACTTTCCATTGCCAAGAAGGTGATGTGTCGATGCTGCAATGCTGTGACCCAATGAACCTCTTGAAATGATGTTGTGCATGCAAGCCAGTGCCTTCGTTCTGAGACGGACAGCCTGTTGCCCGTTTAGATGTTGCGCTGTTGAACAAGGGACAGCAGGAGTCGACCTGTCCACGAATGATACAGAGCTTGAAGCGGTTGCCGCGTGCAAGGTTGCACCATCAACCAGACAAGACTAGGCACAACCAGATTGTCTGCACGCAAACGCCTGCCTTCCGTTTTGCGGGGCCCTTCCATTTAGGTGTGTCTTTTTTGGGAGGCTTCCTTTTTGGGGCTTGCTGTCAAAGGGAAACTAAAGGCACTCGCCAATGTTTGAGGTTCCCCCCCCCAAAAAAAAAAAGCATTTGCCTCGCCCGGGAAGGTGAACCAATCGAATCATGGCTCCTCCATGCTGTCGACTGCCAGGCCCGGAATGCGCAGAGAGTGTCGCTTGTTGTTCCAATGTACACCAGTGGGTTACTTTCTTTTTGTTTGCGGCTTTCCCTTGAAGGTCAATATACACATAAAGGGGCGTCCGCTGTCTATTTATGGGCAGCGGGCCTTGGCAAATGGTGTGTGTGTGTGCATATTGTTTGGGTTCACCATTGTTGGTTAATATGCAGCGAAGGAAAAACCATTAAGGGTGTCCTCTCATGTTGATTCAAAGTCATATGAGTTAGCTTCAAAATTACCGCCGTTCACTTTATGCAGGAGTGTTTCAAGCACATGTCTCGAAAAACGATACGGGACGTCTAAAAACGATGCCGCGAAACCTAGAAAGGAACCTGAAAAATGATACGGAACGTCCTATTGTTGGAGCTCCAGACAAGTAATTCTGACGCTGACTCATATGGACCTGACTGGGGGGTCATGGACATTTGTTTTGCACAAAAGGGGCACCCTGTGTTGGGCACCCACCATGTCACCCGGGTGGGATTGCAGATATGTCGATGGAAGACCCAACTGGCAATGGTTTACGCACCTCACATACAGTGTCCTTAACTAAGCATCCCTTTGGAGTTGTTTTTGTTAATTCAAAAGGAGCCGCAAGAAAAGCAGCTGTTTGTGGACGTTCTTGCTCCCTTAGTGGTACAAGACTGCGAGACGAGGTCCTGTAACAACGTCTGGGGCTAAGTGCTGCTAGGCGCGCTTAGATTCTCGTGCACATGTAGCGCCTGTTCAGAGGAGCTTCCATTGCAACGTTCAACAGGGGTAGGATCGTTGTTTCTCTAACGGAGCGCAAAGTCTTAGTTAGGCATTGTCTTGGATGAGATGGGGGTATTTGGTCCATGGCGAGCGCAAGTGCATGGGTCGATTGGGGAGGAGAGCAATGGCAAGTGCCCCGAGATAGAACGCGGCTGAAACAAAAGCCGTGGCCATCTGAACACGGCGTTGCCCCCCGTCATCAGTTTGCCTTGGGGATATCGGGACACATGTTTAGCTACAGAGCCAAATGCTTGCAAGGGCAAGTTGCGGGGCAAACAGCCTATCTGGTGCAAGGAGATGCAGACATAATTAGCCATGTTCATGCACAATTACCGGTTACACCGCGCGAATCCCGATATCCCCCCCCCCCGGCAAGTGGCACCACCTCAAGAACCACACTGAATGCAGATATGTCGCGGGTGTCATCGGCTTGGTGCTCGTTGACCTTGTGGGATTTTTGGGGGTTGCCACTTTTGACAAAGGAATGTGATCACGTACCCTAGGGTTCAACCCGCACTACAAGAAAGTTGACCCAACTTAGATGATGAAGGATGTAAATGTGGTTATGTGAACCCGCATTGTTTCAATGGTGGCTAGTTACAAGCACGGGAATGAAGTAGGGGGAATGACAGAAAGGGTAATTGTCCACAACCGTGACCCCTTTCAAAAACCGGCTGTATTTGGAAAACATGTCCATATCAGTGGCCGACTCAAGTGTCTTCTTTGATTGGACTAGAAATGGAATCAACCCCAGAAAGAGTTGCATCGGGCTGGCAACTGGGCCTCGGTATTCTTCCAACCCCCAAGCTGTTTTGGACCTCTTTCCCTGGTTCATGTGCCCAAACAGGTGGTTCAATTCTGGTTGAATGGGTACTAAAATCTCAGTTTCCAGGAATCCCCGTCGAGAAACAAGAACACATTTCCAGAATCCTCAACGCTTTCCAGGAATGTTCAGTTTCTCGGCCCAGTGCTTGGTCTCACGTGAGGCGGGTCGTGTCGATGCATGGCATCCTCGGGCTGTACCGGGGGTACACCATGGGGGCTACCCGGGAAGGCAGGGCTCGGACGTAGCTGGTCTCCGGAAAACGGGTCATGTGGGTTCCCCTGGTATCAAGTATTTGTTACGGGTGGTTCTTTTTAGGCTTTGTGCCAACAAAACGAGACTTCGTTTGTGGGGAGTTGGGGAGGTCGAACGTTTTTGGTCCCCGCGGGAGTGCAGAGTTCAGAATTGCAGGTTCCGGCAGTCATGCTCACAGCTCCATGCTTCAAGCCCTGAAACTTGAGCTTGGTTTTCCTTGGTTCATGGACCCTGCTTTTCCAGTTGGGGCCCGGGATCAGGAAGCCGCACTCCGCTTGCACTGAAAGACACTTCTCAATCTGTGCAATATGTGCACAGAGATGTTGAAGCCAGCCCAACGGGACGTGAAATATGCATGTTTTGTTTTGGGATTCTCCTTGTTGATTGACGAAAAAAGGAAAACCGAAAGGAACCCCCCCCCCCCCCCCGATCCAGTTTGTTCGTCCCCACCTGGACCTGGACTTGTTTGTTGTTGTTGTCCTGGTCAAGGAACTTCGCCTCCTTTTCCCCTTTTAATCAGCGCCCCAGGCTACGTAGTGTTCACCTTCCAAGCGAGCTGTTCAAAGGGTCTGAGCCGGCAGTTGCCGGGTATCTCGACGTTCTCGATGAGGAATCTTCTGCAGCTCGTACATGGCGATAAATCCCATGACGAAGCGCTGGCTCCAGAAGAATCATCCGGCGGCCTGGACAAAGCATGTCGCTATGTTGAGGAATTTCCTGTCGTTGTCTTGGGAGGTTCAGGTTTGTTCTTGGGGCAAACCGTTTACGTCCGGGTGGCTCTGGATGATGCCAAGCTCGACCCGTTTCGGGCACCACCCTCCATGACGTCTCTGTCGGGGAATGGGTTGCACGCCAAGCCGTGGCCAAAGCATGGGTCAGATCTTTGAAAAAAGGCGTTGGGGATTTGTTCTCGAAGCATGATGAAGTCAGAATCCAAACCGGCCCGAAGCCCTCATGTTTGCAGGATGATGTGAAACTCAGTGTGACTTGATGGTCCTAAGAAAGAAACATAGGGGTTCTCCTGGCACGAGCAAGGCGATGGCTTCTTCAACATGGGAGTATACTGCAGGTGCGTTGGATCTCCGTTTGTGCACTCTATCAATTTAGGTGTTAGAATGCATGAATGTCCCTCCGATTTTTCTTGTTAAACCAAACGCCAAGGGATCCCCTAGTTGCGTAAAACATGCGGGTTTCTGCATCTTTCCTCTTCACCAGCATGTTCTTTGAGTCTCCATCACCCTTCAAAGATTGGGCCGCAACTACCCAAATGAAAAGACGGTCCTGACAGACGTTGAAAGGCTCAGCAATAGACGCCTCACAATTCCCTTTAAATACTTGGTGGCTCCCAGCCATCCGGTTCCTTAGCTTTTTAGCCTCTTAGTGTTCAGTGCCAGTTTCCATTTAACCAACAAAAAGTTAAACTTTTAGCGGGGGATCTGAGGGCAGCCCAGAACCCCGGCGTTTTGCAGCTTGTCTCAGTTTGGCAACCAGCTTGTCCGAGGAGCTCTCGGACACTGCGGCGACGCTATGTTCATCGGCGGCGTGGCAAAAAGAGTCGTGCCGTCGAATGTGGTGACATCATCTAAATTGCCCTCGGAGCGGTAGATTCCAAAGACTCCCTCGACAAGAACGGAAGCAAGTTGGAGAACCCCGCAACATGCTCCTTTTCATGGCCCCAGCTTTACTTTGGTAAAGTTTGACCGTTGCTCATGTGGAGTCCCTCCTCAAGAAACCTCTGCACGAAGTTGCCCCCAGCGACTACCAGGGTGTTGGCTGTAAAAAATCGTGGTGGTTTCTTAGATTCAAGCGCTCTTTCTTCAGATTTGATTTCCGCTTTGATTTCAGTTTTTGTTTGCAGGATTGTGTCATGGCTTCACTCAAACTGATGTTGACACTGGCTTCGTGCCCAGGCCTTTTTGTGCCCGATTACACTACCCAAAAGGGGTCCAAGCATATTTCCTGGCCATGAGATGCGTGGCAAAATATGGGGTTTGGACCCCCAAAATGGATTGTGGCTTTCCTTTTGCAGCCGAGCGGGACATGGGACCCTTCCAAAAACAGTCCAAAAATGCAACTGTCGCCAGAAGATCGTGGGGGAGGCGTTGCAGGCCACACCTGAAATCGGAGAAAGCCCCAGGAAAGTTCCCGACTCTCCTAGAGGGTCCCAGTACCTCATAATTTGCGGATTTGAAGAATCAATTGACGAATCACCTTGAACCAAACCCAAAGCCGTACATATTGGGTACTTGGGACCCTGATGTTTGACCCAGTCCACCTGCCAAGACTTCTGGCCAATTTGGCTGTGCGAGCCAGATCCTTCTGCAGAAATCTCGCCGGTCGGCTTCTGGTGCGAAAAGCAAGTGGATTTGTCTTATTGCGGGGACGCCCGAAGTGATTTGGCTGTGGGTCAAAACCCGGTACCCCCAGTGAACATCCCAATCCCCACTAATTTAGGCTAAAATGGGTGGTGCACCTACCCCAAAATGTTTCCATTGGTTTTGACCCACGGCCATATGGGCGTGCTTGGTTTTGAGGTTCCCTTTCCTATGTTCAGCCACCCCCCTGAGTCGCTCGCCCAGGCCGTGTCTGGCACACTTGGCGCGGCCATGTCGCACCCGGCCGACACGCTGAAGACGCGGCTCCAAGCGGGAGCCACTTGACTCCGGTCGAGTCGACGGGTCCGGACCTGGAGGCATGTGGTTCCACACATTTCTACGTTGGACCCTGCCCCCAAACGCTAGCATTCGCCACAATTTGGAAGTCCATTTTAGTTTTGGTTGATCTAAATGTCCATCGTCCATCGTTTGTGGGTGGGGGCAAGGTCCAATTTCGAAGTTCTGCCTGGCTTTGTGATGATAACTGGCGGCCATAGATTTGCCTTTAAACAGCTTAGTGTCTAGTATCTTGATCAAAATTTACCTACAGTTTATAAGCATACTATGATGGCAAGGCCTAAACATAGAAGTATAAACCTGTCTTGCCACAAGGTAACCAGGCACTTGCCATGAGAAGGAGGCTCCGGGTAGAGTTCAGAACCCTCGCTTGCATGTCAGACATGTCCCCAACTCGACTCAAAGCAGGTGACCGAAAACTTGTGGAGCTTCTTGAAAAGCCCGCATACCGCTGCGCCTGCAAGGTTTTTTTCGTTGGTGCCCAAAATCGGAGCCACACAAGAGCACAGGTACTTAAATGGCTCCCACCCTTGGAGGGTGCTGGTTCATTTTTTGCTGCTCCTTCGGGGTCAACATCCCGTATAGGACCCGCCAGACCCGCTGCTTCAGGCGTTGCCGCTGCGCCCCGGCGAGGCTCCGGAGGCGGAGAGAAAAAAGCCGGTCAAAGGACTGCTTTGTTTTTGTTTGGCGGCATGTTGGGCTGCTTTTTGGTTGGATTGAAGTCTTAAGCACATCATGTTGTGGGGTCAATTCAACTATGAGTTGTATTGGGGCCATGTTCCGATTGGACCCTACCCTGGAGAGTCCAACAAGGGGTCTCTGCTGGAGCAAAAGCCGCCATTCCCGCGCCACTTGGACAGATCGAGGCGAAGCTTTCGGCAAGAAACTGCTTCTCTATTGGGCTGGTGTTCTTCCTCAAAGTGGAAATGGACCCCGCGAAGGAACTCGAAGGGTTGATTCCTGAAACCTCCCAGCCGTCACATGAGCGCAGCATCCTACCCATTTGCAGCTGGAGGCTGAACACGCACTATAGCACTGGATGAATCTAGATAAGAACCAGTGAAAAAACACCTTTGGCATCTCAAGCCTTTCAATTCTCCACCTCACACGAGCCATCAAACCCTAGGCGGATGAAGGTTGGGGAACATTCCCCTTGCCATACGCAAGTGTGGAAGCGAACACAATTTATTTTGAGTGAGCCTTGTCACGGGTTTGGGGCGGGCCCCTCTAATGTCTATTGTTGGTTTGGGGGACGAGAACAACCCATCTCTCTAAAGAAAACTCAGCAGTACCACCCAAGATTGCCAGCCTCACATCAACTGACTGCTCCAAAGTGATGCATGGGTACCAATGTGTTAGGCCCTTTGTGGGAAACATGTAGTTTTATTTGGGGCGTAGGTCTCAACTCGGCTTCCTTTCAGATCGTTTGTAGAGTGCTCAACCCAGCCGTGTGATTTGTCCAGTCTCAAGCCCAATCCGGCGCCAAATCCCGTGGAATTCGCAGGCCAGCCACATCCGTGGCCCCATCGCGGCCCTGAAGGCGGGAAATCCAAATTTGAATCTTTGATATCATGTGAGGTTTGGGTGTGGTTCTTTTGGGAACGCTGATTTTGGTGCACAGTGCGTAAAACACAGAACGGGGCATGGGAACAGTTTCAGAAGGGAACCCGAAGCCCGCCATGTTGATCCGATTTTTTGCAGCTCGTGATGGATAGGGCGGAAACTTGCTTGCTGCGTTCGGCCTTTGCATGTGACAGGATGGAAAGAAAGTTCGACGAGGGATGGGTGTCAACGAGTTGGATTTTTCGTACTCGCGCATACTTCAAGCGCAAGCTTGTACAGAGAGGCCGTGTGCATCAAGCGTGCGATTCTTCACTGACGACTCTAAGTGTGGACACCATGCCCTCCCCCCCTCCTTCCCAACCCCAGCCCCCAAGTGCCAGGACCTGCAGCAGCGCGGGCACCTCCTGCAGAAATGCTACGCAGGTCTGCCGGTCTGCCAGTTGGCCGGTCTGAAGGTGCAAATGGGTCCCTCTCCTTTTTTTTTCTGGGGGAAGAAACCATTTGGGGTTAATTTATAGAAGGAAATCAAAAGGCAGCAAACCATTTTTGGGTATCTTAACCCCGTCGATGGGCCCAGTTGAGATGTTGAGACCCTCAGCTCAGGGTACCTTTAGGGCAGGGGAGCAGAACTCCAACTGTTTTTTCAGGGGGTTGAAGTCAAAGAGCCTTCCCAGTTCACCAGGCAGCTCAGTTCTTCGGCCGGGGCTTGGCTTTTGATCCCCTGCCAGTTGAGATAAACTTCAAGTTGGGCATTTGTCTTCATCCAGTCCATCAGACTTCAGATCCAACTTGCCAGCTATATAACCTGCGAGGTGGTGTTCTGGGTCGCATGCTACACAGCTTCAAAAGCGTTGTCACTTGTTCAGGCAGGTCGACTCAAATCGGCTCCCCATGACCAACTTGCCAATTTCTGAACTTTGAACAATATTATCGGTAAAGTAAAATCGCGGCCGCGAGATGGGATTTAGTTTGCCACCAATTTCATTGTGAACGTTCCGTTCTTGAGAGTCCCTTATGTCCGGTTTGTGAATTAGTACACGATTTACACATATAATTTGGTAACGCAACCGTTTGATGACTTTCTTTTTTTTCCTTCTTTTTTTGGTTGTCTCTCAGGTAAGATACATAGCTGCTGCTTCCTTCAGGGACCCAGGTTCCTAATGAGGAGAACAGATATCATTTTGTGCTTTGTTTCAATCTTCCAGACCTCTTTCACCTAGCAAAAACCATTCCCAAGGCCACGGATCATTTGGATTTGTAGGGAGCCAAACAGCAAAGACGTGGGTCCATTTTGTCCATTTTGTCATAGTTTGGGCACGATCAAACACCAAAGAATTGGGCCTGTGGGTTTTGCTGTTTGCCCACTCCGAAACCACAATTGGAACCACACAGATTCTGCAGAGAACCCACGCGCGGTGCCCCAAGGAAAGCCGGCGACTGAGAACAACCCTTGGTGACCCCGGCGGCCCTTGCTTGATTCTTGTTGTTTGGGGGGATCACTCTGCCACTGGCGCGGCCGAATCCCTGGAAGGAGCCTGTTGAAATGTGGGATCCCTTGGAGTTCCCATGGCGACCTGGGGGTCTGGGGGTTGGAGCCTGATTTTGTTGGACTTCGCACAGTGATTTCGGCTCATGGGTTCCCCAAGCTGGGCTCAGGGCACGTAGACCTGAAGGCGTAGCAGCGGCGAGCCATGACTCACTTGCCACGCCTCCTTCAAGCACTTTGTGAGTCAAGTTTCTAATCTGTTGGTTCTGCCGCCGACAAGTCAAGGTCTCCCAAGCCGTTCGCTACTCATTTCCAGATCCTTTGGGGCGCTCAAGCGCGTTCGGGAGGCTTCTCGCCGCGGCTCTTCCGCTTGATTTGCTGCACCTATATCTATAGCGCCTTGGAGCTCGAACCCGTGGGCTTGTCTCATACCCCCGCAATGGACGTCCTTTTGGACTAGGCAGAACCATGCCCACCCCCCTGTGTGAAGGGAAGCCAGTCCATAAGACTCGCTCACCAGGATTTGAATGAGTCCCTAGGGGGATCAATCTTACGGATCCTTCACAACTTGGGTGTTGAACTTGCTCTTTTCTGCGAGCGGGATGCCCAGACCGAATGACATGGGCCACCATGGGACTTCCTTTCTTCAAGTTCCAAAGAGGGGTTGCCCTTTTAAAGTGCACTAATTACCAAAAAAGGAGTCCTTTCTCTTTATGGCCGCTGGGGGCTCTGGGGTGATGAAGAGTATGAGCAAATTCCGAATCTTTGTCCTGGCAAATATCAGGTTGACATTGCCAAACAACGCCTTTTCCTGTTTTCTATGGGGGCAAAAGTGAAAATAATGGACCCTTCCAAATGTACGCTATTTCCTATCAGTTTGTGCTCCAAGCCCGACCAAATGCTCGGTTGAATTGACCGACGTCATGCAATCCACGTGGCTCTGTCCTCAAATCAGGGACTTGCTTCTCGCTTTTGTGGGTCTCCCGCAGTTCCCTCAGGCGCCTTAGGGAGGGAAGTAAGGTTTCCCCTGTGATGGTTGAGACCAACATATTGGTTTCTTGGTCACGATTTCGGGGATTCTCGCCTCAAACCCAACAGTTCGCCACAACCATGTCCTATTGGCACTTGCCGGACGATACTGGGTTGTTAACCACCCCCCTTAAAAGAGGTTTCAGGTCCATTTTAAATGCCCCGTTTGTTTCCAAAAGGAGCGATTTCGTCACACCAAGCCCCTGAAGGAAATAATGGGGATGGGGTTCCTTAGTTGAGTTGGTTGAAGCCAACACCGATCGGCCCCGCAGGTTTCATGCGGATGTGTAGTACCCTCTTCTCCCGCTGTTGGATGGGAAGAGAGTGTATGACCGTATAGACTGAAGCAGCTCCCGTGGTGTGTCTTGTTTGAGGCTAACCTGTTTCGGGAAGATCAAGAGTTGACACGGTCCGACTGGAAGCCATCAGGCACCATGACGGAACGTCTGGAGGACCTTTGGCGCATGGCTTCGGTGCCTTGGACATGGCTGAACTTGCGGCGCTTCGCCTCTTTTGTTTGGAAAAGTTGTGAGTAGCATCCAATTGAACCCATGGATTTGAACCCATTTGGGTCATATCGGTCGGGTTCAAGTTGATAGTTTCCCAAGATGCGGAACATAGTGACTTTGTGGAGCAATGCTTGCAATTCAGATGCGTACTGCATGGTGGCTAATGTATGATGCGAAAATGGTATCCATTCATCATGAACACGTAAGGCTGAGATGCTCGATTAGGGCGTGTCAGCCATGCTGCTTTGGGCAGCCTCAGTTTCTTCTCCGCCTTTGCCTAGCCCTCGTTGGATCCCTTTAATTTGCTCGAGGAGTTTCTTGTGGACTTTCCCTCTTACGAAATGACATGGCAATGGCTAGTCCATGTTTTTGTGGACCGAAACCGCGGGGAAATCCTGCGGGAAAAGGCCTACTCGACAAGCCTTGTGAATGCAGCAAGAGGTGCATGGAGTGGCCTCTTCAACGGTTTCGAGTCGTTGAACATGGATGCTTTCAGGGTACCCAGGATGGTGTCCAGACTCAGTCCTGTTGCCATGGCCTACCTTTTCAATTAAAGGGATCTGTTTGAGGTCATTCATTTCCTTTTTGAGTGTTTTCATTTCCTGTTACCCTCCCTCCCACTAACATGGCAACTGACAGGGGGTCCCTTCAAAAGGAATTTAATCTTCCAGGTACCTCCCCACAGGTGCCATGTTAATGGAGGAAGGGTAAGTTCTTCATGCAAAACCATGTAATCCAAAGAAGGTATAGGAAACTATGCTATGCCTTGTGTGCATCAAACAAAAATGAGTTCCTTCATTTCTTGTGCAATTAAAGGTTTTGCCTTCTTGCGTTCCTTCATTTCCCCCCGCGCTTCGAAGGTGGACTTCACCATGACACCGCTGCCGCTGGCGTAGAGAGGTGGGGAGAGAGAGGGCGACGTCTTCAGTCAAGACTAGGTCCCCCAGCTAGGTGCCCTTTTGCCGTTTCCTTTTTTGGGGGAGGGTTCCCCTACTAAAATAGACTACAGAAAAAGTTGGTACCCTTATTCTAACATCTCTACTGGAGGACCGAGAGTCTATCCAGCGAGACTGTCCTTTGCTCCGCAGGCAGTGAAGCGGCGTTCCAGCCCTTGCCATCCAGCGGCCTCTGGCAGTGCTTTGCTCCGGCATCAGCATGGTGTGTAGAAGGCGAATCCTTGCAAAAACATTGGCTTCTAGTTCTTTTTGGTGCATTGTGCTTGGATGTTAGGACTTTAACTTTTTGCCAACGAATGGGTTTTCCATTAAACCATTGAAAGTTAAACTGTTAGCAGGGGAGCAGAAAGCAACCGAGTTCTGCTGGCCCGGTGCTTGCGCACCAATTATGATGGTGGTTGTTTGTTGTATGTTTGTTTGCGCGTCTCTTTTTTGGTTTGAAGTGTTTCTCATTTTGGGGCAGGCATGGAAAGGTGAGAAACCAGCTATGAATTTGCAGGGGATATGTGGAAGAAACCGCTTCGGCCAGTCAAATGGAGCTTAGGGAAAATGCCCCGCTGTCAGCAGCAGATCATGATAGCTTCTGAATCACTAAGAAAAAGCGAACTGATGCGTACTCGGCTTTGGTTTTCCACCTGTTAATTAGAAGTGCACTCACGATAGCTTCAAGAAAAGCAACATGGCCATGCTAAGGTTTCTTCTAGTTGGATGATGTTTGCGGAGACAATCATGGGAAGTGTTGTGGCAAACCGAACGGGCAGCCTTGAAATGGTGACCACCCACGTGGCAGATTTCCAGTTGGAAAGGAAAGGCACTCCTAAACATTTGATCGCTTGGAGGTCCCCGCCGTTTTGACAGTGACTGCGAGTCGAGCAAAGCATTGCCACAATACCGAGTGAGGCCTTTGCCGTTCGACTGACACCAGCGAGGTGATCAGTTCAGCTTTTGCAACGCGCACGCCTGGGTGGACCAGCCTTCTCCTGACCCGGATTCGGGGTGTTCCACTTCACAAAGAAACATAGATTGAAACCAAGGCCGCCATTTAATGGCAATGTGTTGGGGGCTATGAGTACGCAATCGTCAATCAGGAACCCCAGGAAAACCGGGAACACCTCATGGGTTCGAGGGGATGGTCACTGCGGTGTGTTCGGCCGCCGGGCACTTTTGTTTGCCCTCGACAAAAATCCCGGTCTTCTTCAGGTCGGCAAGGCTGGGTCTGGGAATGTGTCAGAAGGCTTGGATTTGAAGAGAGGTCCCATCCCAAGATGATGATCTACGAATATCTGTGATTTGAACTATCCCAAAGATGGTGATCTATGATTTGAAATAGATGCATGTTTTGAAACCGGGCGCCCCAACAATGCGCGTTTGCTTTCGTTGCCTGGGTCGGCCGAAACAAGCGGCGGACACGTGGCGTGAAGGCGACTGAAGGGCAATCCGACAGGGCCTGGCTGACAAGAGTTGGGACGGACTCAGAGACATATGCATATATATTATATATACATATATATATATATATATATATATCTGGCTTTTTATTAGGGAACCACCTCAGAAGTGGTTGGTGGAAAGCCTCCTATAAGATTCACATCCAACTCATATCTGAAGGCGACTTTCAGGTTTAGAAGGTCAATGTCAAAGGCCCGTCTTGGAACGGCGACTTGGTGTATCCGCGAAACTGTTAAAACACCTTGCACAGAGTCCTGGGAGAACCTGGAAGTCGCGAGGGGCCGGGCGAAGTTTTGACAGCGCTTTGCTGACAATACCCAAGCTGTGGAAGGGAGCGAGACCGCTCCTGCGTGCCGGAAAACGGGGATTTCCTAGGTGATAAAGAAGTGGCAAAGCAGCTGGCATTGGATTTTATCACGCAGTGGTCCTCGCACCAATACTGTACATATACACTCTATACATACTATGTATTAATGTATGCATCAGGATGTCCTTTGATTGTTGGAAACAAGTGGAGAGGAGATTGCACATAGGAGCTTGAGACTTCAACCCACATGTGCGCATTCTTAAGGAATGTTGAAGCAGCTTACCCGAAACATTTGCTTGTCAGCGATAGGGTGTGTGCTTTGAGAATAGCTAACCCTCCTCTGTGCTTGCATTAGGAGCTGCACAAGTAATAGCGAGTTCAGCTGGGGGGAAAACAAGCTGACCCAAGATGAAGGCCCTAGATTGGGTGCACTTATTGTTTCTGTTTGTGATTAGCAGCTATTGCCCAAATCGAATCCCAAAGTTTACAAAGGACTTGTAAGCTTCCAAGATCCTCCATCTAAGCTTGGAACTCATTCTGAGTAATTGCGCAAATGTTCACGCGCTCAACAGTGGAATTGTTGTGCCGGTACCAAAGCATGCTTCGGCATCCATGCAGCGGGATCTTGGGCTTGTTTAGATACGGAATCGACGATCTGATTTACCCTGTTGCACGAATGAGTGGTTCCCCATGTGCGCTCCTTTCCAAGAATCAAGTGAAAGACAAAAGATAAGACAGACATCCCCGTTTCCGCTTTGCGTCTCGCAAGCGCGGTAATACCTCCCCACCGATACTTCGAAGCTCTCGCACCAAAGAGAAGTCCTGCCCATGGTGCATGACCCTTGGAGGCGAGAAACCTGGGATATGTCACGCACGGGCTACGCCAGACGCAGAGGAATCGTAAATGATTGCCCTATGACCCCCTTTTGGTTGGTTTCAAATGGAAACCAAAAGGAAGCTGACCACTTCAGGTCTCCAATTCGAGACACACACACAAATCCCTTTTGGTCTAGCACCCTGCGTGTCTGGTTGAGAGAACTCCGTGCTGCCATCTCGCCAGTGTTTCGTAGTTTTGTTTTTGCTTTTTTTTTCGCAGGTCCCCTTTGGGGACTAGCCCGAATCTCTTGTGGCTGGGGAGCACTGGGAGCAATGCGCTGACGGACGTTGGAGACGTTCGCTTGTCAAAGTCTGGTACCTGTTGGTAGGGGAGATGTTGACCCGAACAGCAGTTGGGTGAAAGTACATGGTGAATTCTATGTTCTCATGTTGTGTCATTAAAACGTTTCCATTTTGATGAACCCTTGGGACCAATGAGAATAGGGTCATTGCTTGAAATGGTGATGGCCCAATTCTGGTCTCGAGTGCTTGCTGCCCTGAAAATACCCGGAGGTGAGTCCAACCACATGAGCAGCGAACGGGCTCGCATCACAGCATGATTGGCATGCGGCGAAGAAGCCAAGTGTGGCGTTGCTTTATCTCCGGTTCGTATAGTAGTTCAATTTCAATAACAACTTCCTTTGGAGTGTCCTTTCTACTCTTGAATCATTCACGGTAGACTAGGACCAAACTGAAATTAGGACCAAGGATTTCTCAACTTGGACTAGGACCAAACTAGGACTAGACTATTCAGCTATATTTCTTGTAGTATTTGATTTTCAAATATAATACGATATTCAACAAACTAGAATAATAGATATTCAAATTTGTCAAATGGAATTTCGACTGGAGTATGTTCTTTTCTGAAATTATGTGTTAATCATTTCAGTTACACATTGCGTGGAACTTGATAACTATATTATGTAGAGTTCATGCGGACATATGTCCGAGATCCCAACATGTTTGAATAAGTTGTATTTAATTGTTTTCTGAGTTGTAAAGACAATTCCATTGGAAAGGATATCCTGTGTAACGCTTAGGTTAAATTGTAAAAAGCAGTTTAAAATTCAACAGTAAAGCAGACGTTATGGTGGGACTTTGTCCTTTTTAAGTTCTAGTCAGAATACTGTGTAGAGTTTGATAACAATGACGTAGTAGAACTCATATGGAAAACATCAGAGGTCCCAAAATCATGTTTCTTGTGTTTACTAGCCCCAGCACTACTGTGGTCAGAAAATATCGCAAAACACAGTGTGTTGCAGCATTGTTCGTACTCTATTCACATCTCCACCAACGGCCGCTCTATAAACAATCAATTTGATTTTGAATAGAATTGAAATGGGACTCAATAAGGAAATACTTGATCAGAATCCTATTCGGCATTGTCTTAATTTTAGAACTTAGATTGAATTCACTTCCCAATGGAACTTTGCAAGTCAAGTATATTTTAAACACACTGTGATAAGGATCCAATTCTTTATTTAAGATTCAAGATTCAAGTTCGTATAGGACAGTCTCTACGCAAACTTGAATCTGGGCCTCGGTTGAATTCGAAACCGATTTAAATCTAAATCGGGCATGTATTCAAGATTCGAGATTCCCTATAGTTCAAGATTCCCTGGACAATTTGGCCTGGATAGTTGAATATTGATTATTCAATCCAGGCCCGATTTAAATTTAAATCGGCTTCAATCGGTTCAATCGAGGCCTGGATTCAAGATTCGCTGGAAAAGTTTGGCGATGAATTCCTGACCCGTCCTGATTTGAAATTAAGTCGGGTTCAATCGGTTTCAATCGTGCCTGAAGCTTCCAGAATGTGCTTGGAAATACGTCTTCTTCACTGCTTTCTCGAAAGCTTCAAGAAAGGCAGAACACATCGCAAATATTACTGAATTCTTCAATCAGGTAGGTATCTATTGTATATATATATATATATATGTACATATGTGGGCATCCTGCAAATAACAAGTATGTGTGTGTGTGTGTGTGGGTTGGTTGCTTTTTGAGGGGGAATCACTATTTCTTGGGGTGTCTTTAAAGGGCGGCCACCCATTTGAGCAACAATATCTTGTTTGTCATCTACAGTAGAAGGAATGAGGGCACACTCTCCACACTAGTAGCCGTTTCTATTCAGCCTGTAGCCACGGGGTTTGTATTCCACCAGCCCTTTGGGTTTTCCAGCAGTACAGGAGATGTCTCCATTTTTACGAGGCCTATGGGTAACCTTCCAGAAATGGATTATGAGGGATGGGTAACCTTCCAGAAATGAATTATGAGGGATTCGTGGCACCTGTGTTTCTGACCATCC